CCTTTGTTTTGTGAGAATTGATACATCTATCTAGTAGATGAAACATCATGATTGACAGGCATCATAGGCTCCAAAGCAATCTAATTTCATAGTGCCATTTCTTTGATTTTCAGCTTAGACCTTGTGGTACAAGATGAACATGCCAGAGATATTTTTTCCATCATTTTTATAACATATATGTTCCTGCATGACTTTGAGGCAAGAATGTCCCTAAATGTCACTCCTTTTAGATTGTGATCCTGTTCAGAAGTGGATTTGTTAACTGAGCATGCTTAAGAAGTGGGAGAATGCTACATGAACATGTCCAGACTCCCTAAGTAAAATCCCCATGCTTCCTCTGTTTTGGAAAAACATTGGTTTGGAAATAACTCCTATGCTCTCCTTGCCTCCTGCAGGCAAGAAATTTTTCTCATTTCTTCCATCTTGACTGTTGTGATGGCTATTCTTGGTAGTCAAACTACCTCTGAAATTAACCAATATACAAAGAAATGGGTATACCTGGGAAGGATTTTACTTAATTAAAGGTTTTGAAATGGGAAAATCCTTCATTAATCTTGAACTTTTGAGGTAATAAAATCTACCTGTAATCTTGTCAGACCTTCTGGTGGCAGACTACATATATAAAAGAAATTGAAGATGGAAGCTCTTTCTCTTTGAATGATTGCCCTGTCTGTGGCTGGGAAGGTTATTTCTTTATTATCTTTAGAGCCTAGATCTTAGGAATTCTGGTATATACTGAAGACCATCTGAGACATCCAGCCTCATGGATTAAAGAACTATTGAATTCTTCAGTTTTCATTGGTAAACAATCAATGCTAGACTAGCTGGACTACAGTCTGTGAAATATTCTAATAAATCCACTTACTAAATACATACAGAGATTTATTTTATCAGTTCTATTCAAGCAGAGAACCTTGATTAATACTGCTGTTTTTTCAGCTGCCCACTGAGTAACACATGCTAGCTAACTATAGTGCCCATAAAAGCATTTTTCCTTGCTCAGTTTCTAAGTATTCAACTTATCGTGAAGACTATACTTTTTATTATTATTAAAATTTCAAGTGATTGAAATGCATTTCAGAAGAAAACTCCTAAAGCAATGGCGCCATCATCCAGCCTTCTGATGGGAGAAAGACCTATCATCTTGTTTGTGATCTAGTTCCTGTTTTTCTCTTCTGGTTGTCTGAAGTCCCTGGGACAACCAGATAAAAAGTACCTTGAGTTCACCTGACCTCAGCATGGAGCCACAGAGCAAACATCTCCTTTTTTGTCCTAAAATCTCTCTTAATTGCTAATATTTTGGGTACCCTTCTGTTGTTCAAATGTTAAATGTTCTTATAATAAAAAACCCTGAGCCAGATATTGGGGTGTAAGCTGAAAGATCAGAGAAGCAGAGCAAGCCACTGCCATGTCTTTCTTGAGTCCTCACTCAAAAGGGTCTCAGTTGAACTGGCCCCAGCAAGAGCCCTGCACCACTTCTGACTGACAGACTGGAGGCCCTGGTTAGCTCCTGAAGACTGAGTGACAAGAGAAAGTCCCTTAGGGTTACCCTGTGCTTAAAGACATAGCACAGTGATTCCTTGGCCCTGCCTCCCACTCCAGACTCAGACCTTTCCAAATTTATACAGGTAAACATTTCAATAGTACTTGCCTTGGCTCCATGGAAGATAGTTGACCCTGCTATCTTCCTGCACTCCATAGGCACTTTCCATTCTTCCTCTTGCACAGCCCATTACACAATGTGGAATAGAATGATTCCCCTCTCCCCCAGGTGGAGGGCTATAATGATAATAGTGTGTACCCTAATAAAGCTTGCCTGAGTATCAGAGGACAGAGCAAGCCACTAGATTAGACACAGATTAGATTAGAGGTCAGGCAATGGTGGTACACACTTTTAATTCTAAAACTCAGGAGGCAGAGATCCATCTGGATAGCTGTGAGTTTCAGGTGGCAGTCAATTGCTGAAAGAGGCAGGGATTTTCAAGGAATTTATCATCATTATAAAGAAGGCCCTTGCTATAGAATGGAAGCATACCAAGGTGCCCTAAGGGTAAGACTCCATCCATCTAAAGCTTCAATTTATGGAAGGAGTAAGCAAAGTGATTTCAAGTCCCAGGAAGCAACTTCATACAAAATCTGCTGCTCCTGTGGTCCAATTATGTTAATGTCCATCCCAATTAAGAAATCAAACTTTGCAGGATCAGCCTTCATGGGCTAGTCCTGGAAACAAGAAAATCAAATTTTAAGGTCAAGATTCTTACTCTGTGGTTACAGTTCAGGATTGTTGCAAGCATCTGTGTTTGGCAGAGTCAGAAACCCAGTGAGAAGACTGTAAGAGTTCATTGCATGATGCTTGATGTTGTTGGTTGTTTTTGTTTTTGTTTTGTTTTGTTTTTAACTCTTTACTCTTTTGGTGTTCTGCCACTCAGCTCTCAACACTCACACACACAGAGGCTTATTCTTTCTTACAAATGCCCAGCCTTAGTTTGGGTTGTTTCTAGCCAGATTTTCTTAAATTCTCCCATCTACCTTATGCCTCTGGGCTTTTATCTTTCTCTATTCTATATGCCTCTGGTCTTTTATCTTTCTCTATTTTGATTATACCTTTCTTTACTTCTTACTCCATGGCTTGCTGTGTAGCTAGGTGGTGTCCTCTCATTTTCTTGCTCCTCCTTCCTTTTTTTTCTTTCCGGATTTCTCCTCACGTTTATTCTGTCTGCCAGCCCTGCCTTTCCTTTCCCGCCAAGCTATTGCCCATTCAGCTCTTTATTAGATCAATCAGATATTTTAGACAGGCAAAGTATCACAGTCTCACAGAGTTAAACAAGTGCAACACAACAGAATGCAACACATCTTTGCATCGTTAAAACAAATGTTCAACATAAACAGATATAACACATTTTAAAATAATATTCCACAACAGCCTGGGTAGCATTTTGAGACCACAAGATGTTTAGATATCTAAGCTATGAGACATTTTACATGGAGACTGAGCTGCATATTGGGAGTGAAAGTAACCAAAAAGAGATGTATGAGAAGTTGCAGGAATAGGGCCATCTAAGCCCTTTGAAACTGAAGCCCTATGTGTCTGAGACAGTGATAAAGAATTTGATGTTTGTCCTGCTGTGCTTCAGTCTTGCCTTGGTCCAATCTTCCTTCACTATGTCTCCATTTCTCTCATTTGGAATGGTAATGGTATTCCAATATCTATTGTATGTTGGAAAGATGTAACTTGATTTATGAGTTTACAAGATGGCACTGTCAAGAGATGGTCTTGAGTATCAGAAGAGACTTTGGACATTTGAAAAGCTCAGGGGCTGTTGTAGATTATGAGGATCATTGAAGTGAATAAATGCATTTTTCTTTGTGGATGACCATGAGCCTATAGTGACCTGTGTCAGAATGAATGAAAACCTCCCAGATAGGATGATATATTTGAACATGTGTATCTCCTTGGTGACTTTCTTTAAATTGCTTGTGAAACCTGTAGTAGGAGGGGCCTTTCTGGATGAAATTCCTCATTGGGAATGGGATAGTCTCAACCCATTTACTGTAGTTTGTATCTATTGTGTTGTGGTTGAAACTAATCAGCCAGCTTCCTTCTTGTACTGTTATGCCTTTACTACCATTATAGACTCTATCTCTAAATCACATAAAATACAATAGAAGCAATTACTACTGCAGGCTAAGGCAGTTTGGTAGCCTGCTGTTTTATTTTTGTTTGTTTGTTTGTTTGTTTTTGAAGACAAGGTTTGTCTTTATAGCCCTGGCTGTCATGAAAGTAGCTCTGTGCGCCAGGCTGTGCTTGAACTCAGAGATCCCCCTGACTCTGGCTCCTAAATCCTGGGATTAAAGGTGGGCCAGCATTCTTGGCTTTTTTTGTTTTTATATTATTGGGTGATGGCCCTGTGGTGTAGGTTTTTGTACACGTCAAGCATATGCTGGTGTACTAAGCTTTACTCATATCTTGAATTTAAAAATTTGGCAGAGGTTATCATTCTGCTTCCCAGGATGTCATGAATTCATGACATTAATACTGCCTGAGCCTTCTGAGTCATTGGATTGTAGGTGCATGATCTTCTTCCTGCATGTTGTGTTTGTTTTGAATATTTTAAATGAATATCAGTATTTTACTTGTATGCATGGGTATGCACCATGTGGGTATGCACCATGTGGGTGATCACCTCATAGTGTTCAAAAGATGGTCTCAGAAACCCTGAACTTGAAATAATGAATAGTTCTGATGCCCATGTAAGTACTGGCAATTGAGCCTACCTATATGCAAGACCAGCAAGAGTTCTTTACTACTGAGCCATCTCTCCTGCCCTGTGTTGATTATATATGATCAACATTTATATCGTTTATGTTTTCATCTGTCCATTTGTAACTGTTTAAAAATGTAAAATCTTTTAGTAATAATATTTTAGTAAATAATCTTTTAGTAAAATCTTATTGATGTTATAGTATAAATTAGGGCATTTCAGGTTTCTGGAAGGTGAATACAGAACTGGAATGAATGCATAACTCTTTGTAGGCACTTCAGTAAAGACCTCTGAGTTCTTTCTATCATTTTTGTTAGTTTGACTGATTTTTTTTTTGAGACAGGGTTTCTCTGTGTAGCTTTGCACCTTTCCAGGAACTCACTTTGTAGACCAGGATTACTTTGAACTCACAGAGATCTGCCTGCCTCTGCCTCCCGAGTGCTGGGATTTAAGGCATGCACCACTACCACCTGGCAAGATTGACTAATTTTTTTACATGGGAGACAGGGTGTCAATATGTACTTCTGGCTGTCCTGGACTTGATTGCATAGACTAGGTTGGCATTCCACTCAGAGACAGATATACTTGCCTCTTCCTTCTGAGTGCTGGGGTTAAAGGTGTGAGCCAGTTTATCTATCTTATTTTTCTTCTCTGTTGTTAGTAATTGCTCATACAATTTCTCTCATGTGTACTCTGCACTGTTGATCTGTTTATTTGTCTCTCTGTGTTTGTTAATAGGCATTTCTCTTGTAAGGTGATATTCCACTCAAACGGTACAGAAATGACAGAGATGACCCTCCTATCAAGTTTTCTTCAAAATGACTTAGTGGTTACATTATAATGTACACATGTATGGGATGTTTTAGAATGCAGTGACCTATGATGATGTGCATGTTGACTTCGCTTGGGAAGAGTGGACTTTGCTGGATCCTTCCCAGAAGAATCTCTACAAAGATGTGATGTTGGAGACTTACAGGAACCTCACTACTATAGGTAAGACAGAATTTTTCTTTACATTTTAACATAAGGGGGCAACTGTTCTTTGGTTATTTTTGCTCCTCTAATATGATTGAGAAAGAAGATGAATGATGTGAATGAATCAATCATAGTACTAAGGTTCACTGAAGATAGTAACTTAAATTTTGCATAATTTTCAATAATATAACATACATTTTCTGGTACTATATTTTAGGATACAGTTTGGAAGACTATAATATCAAAGAACATCATCACAGTTCTAGGAGATATGAAAGGTAATTTTCATGTGCTAGGTGATACAACTGTGCCTCTGAAGAAATTGTTATGTGCCCTGGAAGTTTTAAACAAAAGAAACAGTGTAAATGAGCACAGCTTATAGTGCGTTGATGATTATTAAATTCTCACAAAACCATATGCCTCTATTTCAGGTAGGTGAATTGCAGTTGCCATGCATTATTTTAAGAAAGAAAACAAGAAAACAATGCCTTAACAGATATTGCCATTTGAATCACAGCACCATGAGAGCTATGCTGTCTTACAAAAGGCATATTTGTTGTGACTGTGCTCAGTTGAGTAAGAGGGGAAATTAGAGTCAAAAGCCAAGGGACAGTTTTTGCTAAAGCAAAAGGGTTTCTCTGTGTAGCTTTGGTACCTTTCCTTGAACTCACTCTGTAGCCCAGGTTGGCCTCGAACTCAGAGATCTGCCTGCCTCTGCCTCCCATGTGCTGGGATTAAAGGCATGCGCCACCACCGCCCGGCCTAAATGTATGTATTTTGAATCAGTTTTGGGTGAAGAACTTCTTTTGCTTTAGCAGATCAAAACTTCCTCATGGAGTGGAGCAGAGAAGCAATGGGCACCTCTGATGAGAAACTACCTTTTGGGAGCAGTGCAGAAGTAACAACTTTTTGCATGGAACTGGAATAGACTGCTACATTTCTACAGTGGTTTCCCTCTCAGTTGAGTGAAGCAGAGAAGTAACAATTTGGGATGGATCTGAGAAGAAATAGACATCTGTGCTGGGAAACTCCATAGTACAGCAGAGCAGAGCAGAAAAACAATGAACACCTCTGCTGGGAAACTCCCATAGGGGAGTGGAGCAGAGCCCGGCTGTAATGGCTTTCTCTCAAAGAGGAGCAAGATTCCTTCATCCTGCTGTGAGATCATCCTCAGCTGGAACACAACTTCGGGTATAGCCTGACTTCCTGACAGTTGTGATTCCTTTCTCCTCACTGCTGTAAGTATTCAGGGTACCTTCCCTTCACAACTGTAGCTATAGTCTGAATTCTGACAGTCAGGGTACCTTTCTCTCCTGAGCTATAGGTATCTACAGAGCTGTAGATAGTTCAGGGACAGGGTAACTCAAGGTCAGGGTCATGGTTAGAGGGTCAGGGTTAGGGTCTGGGTGTAGGCTTAGGTCAGCATTAGAGTCAAGGGTTAGGGGGTTAGAGGGTGGGAGAGTTAGAGGATTGGGGTTGGGATAGGTTGAGGTCAGTATCCTGGTCAGGGTACTGATCAAGATGGTCGGGGTCGGGGTCAGGTCCTGTAACTCAGGGTTTAGGGTTAGGGTTAGACTTAGGTTATGGTTTATGTGTTAGGGATTAGGGGTAAGTTATGATTAATGGTAAAGGGTTAGAGGGTTAGGGTCATGGACAAGGTCAGAGGGTCAAGGGGTGAGAGGGTCAAGGATAGAAGGCTACTATCAGGGTCAGAATAACTCAGGGTTGAGGTCAAGGTTAGGAATAGGGTTCAGAATAGACAGGGTAGGGTGAGGGTTAGGGTTAGAGGGTTAGGGTTAAGTTTAGAGTCAGGTAAGGGGTTAGAGTCAAGAGTTAGGGTTAGGGTTAGAAGGTTAGGTAACAAATTCCCCCAAGTGCCTGCCTTGAAGAGATTTTTATCAGGGTCAAGAACAGATGCTGCAAGGGGCTAAGCATACTAATCTGAGGGATATTCAATGAATCTTAGCAGACTGAGTTTGTTAGTCCATTCACTTTATTCTTCTAAGTCAATTCCTGTAGAGAGCTGCGTGAAGCTGCATTCTTGAGATGGCTCTGGCTTTTGCCCCCCGCCCTCCCGATGGCGAGTGCTCTCTATGTTAAACAACTCCTTATTTGGCTTGGCTTTAAATTTCGGCTTGCTAAGGCATACGTGCACCTATCCAGGAATCCCATGTGGCGCATGATGGCTGGTGGTCTGAGACCTATATAAGGCTGGGCGGGCTCTCCCTAGGGGAGAAGAACAAAGGACACAGATTTTGAAAAGACCTGAATAAAAAACAGCTTGAAGAAGAGCTCGGTGTTGTGTCTTCCTTGCTGGTCGAGGCAGACGCGACAATTGGTGGCCCGTACGGGGAAAACTCTTTGAAGAAAGGGAGCTCAGAACTTCTTGCTGTCAGGGTAGGTATACCTGGTAAGTCCCCGGGTTACTTGGGGAACCGCGACAAAAGCGGGTTTTGCTCTCTTCTGTAGATAAAGAGAGAGCGGTATCGCAGAGCTGCGTCAAAAGCAGACGGTATATATTGAAACAAAACTAGTTTGGCTGTTACATCTCCGCGGATGCGTGGAGCAAAAGTGAACTTGTAAACTGGGGCTTTTGGGCAGAAGCTCCGAGAAATATCTTAGGTTAAAAACAAAGGGTTGTACAAGGATGGGCACTTCCTTCTCACACCCAATTTTTATAGCTCTCAATGAGCTGCTTCTAACTAAAGACTTAAAGAAGGGAACTTTACAAAGATTCTTAGAGGAATGCGATGTCGTGGCCCCATGGTTCGCTGTTTCTGGGAGTCTCACAGTGTCCTCCTGGGAAAAATTGGGACGAGACTTAGACTTCGCAGCAGAACAGGGGACCCTGAAACCGGGGGTGAGACCAGTTTGGAGATTAGTACGTGGCTGCTTAGAGGATCAACGCTGTAGCGATGCTTTGGAAAGCGGACAAGCCGCCCTAGAGCAGTTACAAGAGGAGCGATCAGAGAAGGCGGGGTCTGAAAAGGTGGAATCTGTAAAATCCAAGGGCAGTAAACAACAAAAGAAAAAGGAGACACAACTCTATCCCTCCCTATCGGACTTTGAAGACCCCGAATCTACTGACTCTTCTCTCGGTTCGGAGGAGATAGAGTCTCTAGTTAGAGCATTACAAAAAGTAAAGATTAAAAACAAGGTGAGAGAGAAAGACAAAAGAAAAAAGGTTTGTGGGTCCTTAATCCCCTCCGCTCCTCCCCCTTACCCTGAGGCTGCGACAGCAGCTCCCGGAGCGTCTCCGGTCAGCAGCAGCCTCCACCCACAGCTGTGGAGGGAGGTTAGGAGAGAGATGCAGGTGGCTTGTCCTGTTTTTGTAGATAATCAGAATCAAAGATATCATGAACCTTTGGATTTTAAACTTGTCAAGTCTATAGCCGAGTCTGTGAAAAGTTATGGTGTTACCGCTGCATTTACACTTACTCAGATTGAGACTCTGCAAAGACAATGCATGACCTTAGAGCAATAAATGACCAGATGAATATTATGGGGCCTGTACAGAGAGGTCTTCCATTATTATCAGCCTTACCAGAGAACTGGCCCATTATTGTGATCGATATTAAAGATTGTTTTTTCTCCATCCCCTTGCATGACAAGGATAGTGAAAGATTTGCATTTACAGTGCCATCTACTAATCATGAAGAGCCAGATAAGAGATATCAGTGGATTGTCCTACCACAAGGCATGGCCAACAGTCCTACTATGTGTCAGTTGTTTGTAGCACAAGCTCTAGAGCCATTAAGGGCCCGCTTCCCTGCTGTTAGATGTGTCCATTATATGGACGACATCCTCCTCACAACAAAAAAAAAGAATGTTTTACAAGCTGCATATCACTTTTTAGGGACAGTGTTAAGAGCAAAAGGGTTGTACATCGCTCCTGAGAAGGTACAACAGGATCAGGTGGTTACTTATTTAGGCTCTAAGATTACCAGTCAACAGATTAGGCCTCAAAAGGTAGAATTGAGAAAAGATCATTTTTGTACATTAAATGATTTTCAAAAATTATTAGGGGACATAAATTGGATAAGAGGCAGTTTAAAAATGGCAAATTATGAGCTAAAGCCGCTTTATGATACATTAGCAGGTGACACAGCTTTGGATTCCCCTAGACAGTTAACCACAGAAGCACATGAAGCACTATGCAAAGTTGAGGATAGATTACAGGAAGCCTTTCTTCAGAGAGTTCGAGATCCCAACACAATTGTATTATGCATTCTGCCCACCTTTTTGCAACCCACCGGTATTTTATGGCAGGATGGACCTTTACTGTGGGTTTACACTAGAATTTCCCCTGCAAAATCCATTGAATATTATCCCACAACTGTGGCACTACTTGCCCAGCAAGGTATTCAGCAGTGCTTGCAATATTTTGGAACTTCCCCGCAAATGCTGATTGTACCTTATAATGTCAATCAGGTGAAAGTTTTATGTGCTACTGTTGATGATTGGGCCATATTGCGCTGTAGCTATGCGGGGCATATAGATTGCCATTATCCAAAACATCCATTATTGAATTTTTTTAAGGAACATCCTGTAGTCTTTCCTAAAATAACTGCTTCCCGGCCAATTCCTGGAGCTGCCGTTGTTTTTACTGACGGATCTAAAACAGGTTGCAGGGCCTATATGGTGGGCTCAGGGGAGCCTGTGAAGCACCAATATTTACCAGGCGCACCTCAGCAGGTGGAACTTTTAATTGCTCTAGAAGTTTTTAAGGTTTGTCCATTTCCATTTAATTTGGTATCAGATTCCTGCTATGTTGTTAATGCCTTAAGAATTCTTGAATGTGCAGGGCCTCTTAAATCCTCTAGTCCCGTACAGTCGGTTTTTTGCCAATTGCAACAACTGATTTGGCAGCGGAAAAACCCATTCTTTGCACAACATATTCGTGCTCATACTGGCCTACCAGGCCCATTAGCTGAGGGCAACAATGTTGTAGACCTCTGTACCAGGCAAGAGTGGATGTTTGTGGCCTCAGCAGTGCAACGAGCACAAGAATTCCACAAGGAATATCATGTTAATGCTAAAACATTACAACAAAGGTTTTCTCTCTCACGTGCTGATGCACGTAAGGTAGTTCTAGATTGTCCTCAATGTGTCATTTTTCAGCACCCTCCTGCATTAGGAGTCAACCCTCGGGGTTTGCTCCCTCTGAAAATATGGCAAATGGATGTTACACATATCTCTGAATTTGGACGGGTCAAATATGTCCATGTTTCTGTTGACACTTGTTCTGGAGTCATCCACGCCACCCCAATGGCAGGTGAGAAGGCATTTCACGTGATCACCCATTGCCTAGAGGCATGGGCAGCGTGGGGCAAACCACAACAAATAAAAACAGACAACGGTCCTGCTTACACGGGTCACAAGTTTGCCTCCTTCTGCCGTCAAATGGATGTTCAACTTGTACATGGCCTGCCCTATAATCCCCAGGGTCAAGGCATTGTGGAGCACGCACATCGCTCCTTGAAGGAACTGCTTCAAAAACAAAAAGGGGGAATAGGCCATAGCCGTATCCCTAAGGATAGACTCTCTCTTACATTATTTACCTTGAATTTTTTAAATTTGGATGGATCAAACTGTTCAGCTGCAGATAGACATCAATGTCAGCACAGTCCCTCTAAAGGGATGGTAAAATGGAAAGATGCCTTGACAGGTATCTGGCATGGACCTGATCCCGTGCTTGCATGGGCACGAGGCTCTCTTTGTGTTTTCCCACAGGGTCAACAAGATCCAATCTGGATTCCAGAGCGACTCGTGAGGAAGATACAACCGGACCGGGAAAGGGAAGAAAATGACCATGAAAAGGTTACTGGCAATTATGATTACGGTGATGCTGATGTTCCCAGGAACAATACAGAGGGAAACTAAATTATGGGCCGTCCTAAAAACATGGCCCTATCCTCTTCCTTTGACATCTGATTCAGGGATATTGCCTTTCATATTTACTACTAATGATACCTTAGAATGGCCCTCTTTGCCATTTGATGATGTAAAAGCCATAGATAATTTTACTTGGGTTTCTTTGTATAATACCTTATGTTTTTCTATGTCACAAAAAAATATTAGTGAAAATCCATGCTTGGTGTTGCATCATCATGTTTTAGGTGTTTTTCATCATGTAGTCAATAGGTCCACCACCTCTGTTGGTCGTGGTACTGCAATACTTCTGCAAGGAGTTACACCCAGAGCCATAAGTAAAGGAGGTGCTAGTCCTCCTCGACAACCATCCCTATTACCTAGATGTATGAGCTCTGTCACCTGGCCTCCGGCATGGACAGGATGCCAAAGCACCCTACAACCCAATTTTGTTAATCTTAATAGGACCTTTTCTTTATCATTGAAAGTAAGTCCGTATAATAATTCCTTTAGTGGGTTTAATTTTTCTTATAATAATCCTTTGCAGGCAGCATTTTCTAATCCCTTTGATTCATGGGTATTGTGTAATTCCCGCAGTGCCTGTACCCAGCTTAATGCTTTGGGGTTTGTAAAAGGGGGTGCTTTTCAGAATTGTAGTTATTCAGTACATATGGGGATGACGTTTGAATCAGATGTCACCCTGAATTGTACCCATTCTAAGTCAGTTCATTTTAGTCCTACCCTGGTTTGTGTGTGGCCCCCTTTCTTGTTCCTGCTGTTTAATTATTCGGGTGGAATGTTGAATTGTTCATCTCAGAAATGTTTTCTTGCACAATGCTGGAATGCCTCTGAGCATGATTCCGCTATTGTGATGCGTGTACCCACCTATATTCCTGTACCTGTCCGTATCGATGATGCACAATTACCAGTGGTCTTAAGTAGGCAGAAAAGAGACTTTGGCATTACAGCAGCAATAGTAACAGCCATTGCATTATCAGATACTGCTGCAGGGTTGGCTGCTGCATCCATGGCCACATCTGTCCCGACAGCACAAGCACTAAATGAACTGTCGAGTAATACTGCCAAAGCCCTGCAAAGTCAAAATGCTATTAATGTGCATCTACATCGTGGGATCACATTACTTAATCAGAGGGTAGATCTATTACAAGAACAAATTGATATTATGGAGGGAGTACTTACTTCTGCTTGTATAGCACCCATGACTGGGTTATGCATTACCTCTATTACCTATGAGAATTGGACTCGAGCAGCTAATCTTTCTAAACAATTGAGTGCTATGATTACAGGAGCCTGGACTGCTGAGTTTGATAATTTAACAGCGACCTTGAGGAACGAGATTGTTGCGGTCAACAGCACGCGGGTCCATGTGGCCACAGCAGAGGAACTTCTGACTTGGATTCATCAGTCCTTTAATTTTTTGAAGGAGTGGGCGGGACTAGGTGCCTTGTTGGTTCTTGTGATACTTGCCTTCCTTGTTTGCCTGTGGTGTTTCCATAAGATGAGGTTTGCACAGCGCTGTCAGGCAGCCATGATTATCCAAGCATTTACCGCCATTGAGGCTGGTCAGTCCCCTCAGGCTTGGCTAGTAAAGCTGCAGTCTTGAAGCACAGGTTGCGAGGCATGGCACTGCACTTGAGGTCGAAATAACACTGACCTCAAGAAGAGCATGTTTGATTGCATGCGGGTTGGCATCTATCTCCTGCCTCTGAAAAAAGGATGCTGAACTGGTCTGGTACTCTCTAGGTGGATGACACCTGGATAGCATTAGTACAGGTTCTTGTTTTCTCAGAGATCAAACCTCTACTCTTGCCTGTTGTCTAAAACAAAAAGGGCGAACTGTAGAGAGCTGCGTGAAGCTGCATTCTTGAGATGGCTCTGGCTTTTGCCCCCCGCCCTCCCGATGGCGAGTGCTCTCTATGTTAAACAACTCCTTATTTGGCTTGGCTTTAAATTTCGGCTTGCTAAGGCATACGTGCACCTATCCAGGAATCCCATGTGGCGCATGATGGCTGGTGGTCTGAGACCTATATAAGGCTGGGCGGGCTCTCCCTAGGGGAGAAGAACAAAGGACACAGATTTTGAAAAGACCTGAATAAAAAACAGCTTGAAGAAGAGCTCGGTGTTGTGTCTTCCTTGCTGGTCGAGGCAGACGCGACAAATTCCATCTACACAGTTTTTTTTCTGTTCTCTTACTTAACTCTTCTTAGTGCCTCCTGCTCTCAGTCCCTTCTGCTGTTCTCTCATCATTCTACCTACTTCTTTCTACCTCTGTCCTCATCTCTGTTCTCATTCAGTTCTCTCCAGTGCTCTCAGAATGTCAGTATATATACATATGCAGTAATTCTTTGGCAAAGCAATGCGAGGCTTGAAATTTTCAGGGTCATTGAGAGAGGTGATAAGGATCCACACATAAAGCAATAATTGTCAGCTTCTAATTACAAAACAAAAGGGGGAGTGATTAAAGGTGAGTCCTCTGTTAGGGTCAACTAAGGCTAAGATCAGTTACAGAATTTATGTGCTCAAACTATAACCTAGAATTGGTTAGGTTAGGGGTCAGTAAGTCACAAGAAAGTAAACTGTCTTTGGCGCCACCTTTCCCACTTGTCCAGGCTGCAGCTGCTTTCTGATCGGGAGGGGGACATATGCTAGGTGGCTAAGCAATTTATGTCAGAGCATGTAACATTTGGTTAGTAATATCAATCAGAGTAATTTATGAGGAGAAAATCTAGGAATAGCACCTGGCTGAGAAGGAATTAATACTTATTTTGCACAAGAAGCTTGACAACTATCCCCTGCCTGACCTTGTATGCAATTTCCTTGGGTCAGTGGGAAGTAACTGCCTTAACTCAGTTACTAGCAAATGGCTAAAACTTCATCTCAGGAGTTTGAGCAGTAATGTCTTAAGTTATGGTCTTGTGTAAATAACCCTGGGTGAAGGTAAGGATGTGAGGATTTAATTATTAGTGGTTATTTTCTCTATCTGTGAGTGAGATGAGCTAATGTTTATATATGTGCAGTTTTGAACTTTGAAAGAGGATTTTTGCTCAGAGTTCAGGTTTCGGGTTAGGGGTTCAGGTTAGGGGTTAGGGGTTCGGGGTTCGGGTTTAGGGGTTAGGGGTTGGGGTTAGGGTTGGGTTTAGGGTCAGAGTTGGGGTTGGGGTTGGGGTCAGGGGTCAGGGGTCAAGGGTTAGGGTTAGAATTAGAGGGTTAGGGTTAGGGTTAGGGTTAGAGGTTGGGAGGGAGGGCTGTGGGGTGGGAGGAGGGAGGAGATGGAATATTTATGTAGAGTGAGTAGAAAATTTCTTAATAAAGAAAAATTAAAATAAAATTATGCCCTTCAAAACAAAAACAAAAATAAATATTCCACTATTATCCTCTCTACAAAATCCCACCCCTGGGTATGCATCTACACAATCCCACTCCCATGACCTGTACACACATGACCTACCCAAGCAGCCTTAGGGGGTTAGGGTTAGGGTCAGGGTGTGGGGTCAGGGTCAGGGTTAGGATCAGAGTTAGAGGATAAGGGTCAGGGTGATTATCAGGGTCAAGTTCAGGGTGGTCAGGGTTAGGGTTGGGTTTAGGAGTTAGGGGTTAGGAGTTAGGGTTAGGTTTAGGCCTCCATTCCGTTCCTTTCCATTTCTGTTCCATTTCATTCTGTTCTGTTCTATTCCACTGTTTGTGTCAGGGTCAGGGATTAGGGTCAGGGTTAAAGTTGGGGTCAGAAGAGTTAGGGTCAGGGTCAGGGTTAGAAGGGTTAGGGTCATGTTCAGGGTTGGAAGAGTTAGGGTTAGGGTCGGGTATAGGGTCAGTGTCAGAGTCAGGGTCAGGGTCGGGTGTAACATGAATCCTAAAAATCAAACCTGATGCC